TTAGAACAGTAAAAAGAAGAAATGCTATGAAGGAACATAATTATCACAAAGGGTAAAGAAAATCATGGTAAGCTATAAAAATATACTTGATAACTAGTGAAACTAATCGTAAGAAAAAGAACAAGAGGCTCTCAAGAGCCTGAATCGCTCACCTGTATTTCAGAGGAGAAGATTTTTAAATGTAAGCAAACTTGAACAAATTGTGTAAAATTGTCTTTAAAGGGCAATAACTCCTTAAGGGGTCAATTGACAATTATGGTCATATTAACTTTTTTGTAGATCTTACTTTGCTGAACATTATTGCTGCTTACAGTTTATATATATATATCTATAATAATATTCAAAATAATAACAAAAAACTGCAAAATTTTGTTAAAACTACCAATTCGGTGGCAGCAACCCAACAATGGGTTGTTCGATTCGTCTGAAAGTTTCAGAGCTGATAGATCTTGACCAATTGAACAATTTTACCCCTTGTCAGATTTGCTCTAAAAGCCATAGTTTTTGAGATATAAGCCAAAAACTGCATTTGACCCCTATGTTCTATTTTTAGCCATGGCGGCCATGTTTGTCAATGGATCAAAACTTCGGATAAAATTTATAAACTAGATACCCTAAGGAACATTTAGATAAAGTTTGAAGGTATTTAACCCAGTGGTTTCAGTGGAGAAGATTTTTTTAAATAGTTTACGACGACAGACGACGACAGACGACAACAGACGACGGCGACAGACGACGACAGACGACGGACGACGACGGACGCCAAGTGATGGCATAAGCTCACATGGGGCCCTTTGGGCCCCGGTGAGCTAAAAACAACGTCCCGATGTACGTCAATAATATTGAACAACACCATTTATGACATACAACAAACAGCCACAACCAACAAATGAAAAGATTTTGCTTGAAACAGGTACATACAGAATGTGATCATATGTTTCATCAAAAGAATCTCCATTGTCCTAATGTGTTGAAATGTTAGAAGCAACGAAGTTTTAAAAGAAAATACTTAGATATATCAAAAACCATCTTACAATATTAATGATAGCATAACGGAGAACGTTTTAATTAGGTATGAATATGACTAAAATTTTCATTGGTTAAAAATGGCTAGTCATTTTGTTTAATTTGTTCGGAGCGTACTCCATGTTTTAGATTCACCACTTTAGATCTTTCTTAAAAGAGATAAGTTTAGCACAATATTGATCTAAATTTTTGAAAGAAACCACGTTTTTATGTCCCAAAGGATTTGTAGCTTTTGTGGGATCAAAGTTGCTGATCATAGAGGACCAACGGGGATCCGATGTCCAAATAACATTTCGTATGACTTTGCTTTTGATACACGTAATCAGGGACAGGGTGCTAATGCTAATGTCTTCAGAAAATCTTTCTTCCACCCCCGCTAGAAGTCATTGCGGGTAATGTAGCCAAAACCCCAAAAACAAAGCCTTGACGAGACTTTGTCAGCTCTAGAGCAAGAGAATGAAAAACTTTTAGAAAAAATTAAATTGCGTGAACTAGTTGAAAAGAACAAAACTCTGAAAAAGAAACTTAAGCAAACGGATTTGAACCGGAAACAAAAACATGACCAAACTAACAAAATTGATTTAGAATCCTTGAGAAAAGACGAAGACTTGAAACAGAAAATAACAGAAAAACAGAAAGGATTAGTGAGCAAATTATTCATGTCTGATGATTCAGATAGTGATACAGAAACAGAAGGTGAGATTCATTTCACACAAACATTAAAAACACTTAACTATCCCAAGTTCAAACTCAAAAAGAATAAAAACCTTTCAAAATCTGGTTCATCTAGAAAATCTAGTGATAAGGCTATTTTTCATATTGCATGGCCTCATGAGTTTGCTGGGAGTGACGATATCGAATTCATGTCCTTAAGTATGCCTGCTCTTGTCAGAGGAGAAAATTACATTATACATAACATTGAACCCGCCGAATATAGAGACAAACGTGCTGAACATCTGACACAGCTAATGTTTTATAGTGAACAATTTATATGGTCTGATGTGCTTGCATTTCACAAAGATGTACTTCGAGAAATAGAAACTGGTCGTGCTTCATGGAATGACAATTTTTACTTTTGCAAAGCACGTCGCTTGCATCAGTCACATCCAAGGTTTTATTGTTCAGCTTACAACAAAGGCTCATGCAGCAAAAAAGAATTACACAAAAATACTCTTGGTTTATTAGAGGAACATTTCTGTAGTTCATGCTGGATTAAACGAAAAACTATATTGAATCACGCTGCAAAAGCTTGTCAAAGTCAAAAACAGTTCCAGGGTAATGCAGGTCGAGGTCGAGGTTCAGACGGCTATGTCCAAAATTGGCAACATGACTTTCCTGCACACAGATGACTAGGAAAAGTATGTGGTATTTCAGCTAAAACTATTGATGTATCAACACAAACTGACAATTCTTGTACACATAGTTATGTTATTGATAGCCATGATAAAATTGATAATGAAATTGATTTAAAACCAAAACCTTTAATTACACCTTCAAAATATCAAAGCGGATCAAATGTTGATACATGTTTTAAAAGTACTGTTATTGATAGTGTAGACCATACATGTAGAAATATTAAAAATGACTTTACACAGGTAGAAAATAATGTTAATTATGATATTAATAATAATCAGGTGTGTCAAAATCCTGTTATTCTTCATGATATTGTTTTTAAATCAGGTGTTCCAAATTATCTTGGATCACAAATACCTGTTCCTTCAACAATGAACATTCCTATATGGAGAAAATTGTTAAATGGTTATTATGACTATAAAATTGTAGAATTTTTGAATTTAGTTGGCCTGTTGGCTATAGTAAACATGAATTTCCAGAGACTATTGTTAGAAATCACAAATCTGCATTGTTTTTTAGTGAGCACATAGATGAATATATCAAAAAAGAGTTATCATATAATGCTCTAGTTGGCCCTTTCAAGGTCAACCCTTTTCAAGTTCCTTTAGCTACCTCACCTTTGTCTTCTGTTCCCAAAAAAGATACGATAGAGAGAAGGACTATTATGGATTTTTCCTTTCCAATAGGTACTTCAGTAAATGATGGGATACCAAAACATACTAACATTGGTGACCCATTCACATTACATTACCCTGCCACTGATCACTTAGTACAGCTTATAAACGAAAAGGGTCCCAACTGTCTATTGTACAAAGTGGACATAAAGAGATGTTACCGTTGGTTACCAGTTGATCCTTATGATTATCATTTGTTAGGACTAGTCTGGAATCACAAGTTATACTTTGACACTAAAATTCCCTTCGGCTTGCGTACAGGGGCTATGGCAGCACAAAGGACCACAAATGCTATAATGTACATGTACAGAAACATGGGTTACAATGGTGTTAATTACATTGACGATATAGGTTCAGCCGAAACGACAGAATTTGCCGGGAATGGTTTTCACATTCTCAAAACTTTAATTGATGACCTTGGTTTTAAAGTCGCGGAGCAAAAGTGTTGTGCACCTGACACAAATATGATATTTCTTGGAAAACAATTTGACACTGTCAACATGACAATTTCTATTCCCACTGACAAATTAGGTGAAATAAAAGGAGTTATTGAGAAATTATTGACTAAGAAAACTATCACAAGAAAAAAGCTTGAATCAATTATTGGAAAATTGTCCTACATAGCTGATTGTATTAGATCTGCAAGGTTATTCATTGCACGCTTGCTTGCTCTACTCAGAACTGTATCACGCAAAGGTCATCACGTTAATTTGAATGGCGAAGCCAAAAAAGACTTGAAATGGTTTTTAAAATTCATGGCAAGGTTCAATGGAAAGACCACAATTCCAGAGCATATCTGGACCAAACCGGATCAATTAATACAAACTGATGCGACTTTATCAGGAATAGGTGGTATTTTTTATAATAGTTGCATCACTGAGTACTTTCATTTTGATATACATACATCTTGGTCAGGTCACCATATTAGTGTATATGAACTTCTGGCTGTCCTGATCAGTTTTAAAGTGTGGGGTAAAAGACTGCAAAATAAACGTATTGTGTTGCATTGTGACAATTCATCTTCAGTTATTCTACTTAATACAGGTAGATGTCGTGATAAAATCATGCTTAGCATAGCAAGAAACATTTGGTTAATTTGTGCTCAATATAACATTCAGATCAAAGCGATTCATATTCAAGGAATAAACAATCGAGCAGCAGATATATTGTCGCGTTGGACATCACTTGAAAAACCTTATGCAAAACTGTCGACTGTTTTAGATGACAATTATATGTTAGATATTGAAATGTCGGATAACTTACTTAAGTTAGACTTTTCAATTTAATTTCAGAAACCGGATCAGATTAATGGCTATCACTTCGTCGGAAAGCAAGAACAGTTTTAAAAGCAGCTTTCAGACCGGGAACTTTTAAAAATTTGAGGACTCAGCTTAATACATACCTTTTGTTTTGTGAAAAGTTTTTTAGATCAGCATTTCCTGTTGATCAAGAGACACTCTGCGGATATGTGTGTTTTTTGTCAGATCATTTTAAGAGTAGTGGATCCGTTAGAAACTACTTATCAGGTGTTAAAACTTGGGCCATTCTGTTAAATTTTGATCCTGAGGAATTTAATTCACCTTCGCTCAGGCTAACCTTGTCAGGTATTGACAAGCTTAATACAAATGTTCCAAATACAAATTTACCATTTGAACCATATCATCTGAACCATATGTTTGAAGTCCTAGATATGACAAGTGTACAGGATGCTGTGTTGTGGGCTGTTATTATGATAAGCTTTTATGCTATGCTTAGAAAATCACAATTCGCTAACAATTCAAGGACAACGATTAACCCTAAGGAGCAGTTAACCAGAGGTGATATTCAAATTACTGAGGAAGGATTAATTATCGATATACAGTGGTCAAAAACTAGTCTAAAACACAAAAGTATTCAACAGATTCCTCTTAAAAGAGTTGAGGATTGTGTTCTATGTCCGGTACTGGCTTATTCTAGAATGGTAAAAATGTTGCCTGCACCACCAGGAATAATGCAACCACTATAGATAAGCACACAATCACCTATTTTCGCCGTCTGAAATGAACTTGCCAACGACAACTTTCTCTGGTCTCCATGGGCTCTAACCAGAAACTGACATTGTTGGTCAATATCTAGTACAGGCATAGGCACTGAAACATTCTCTACATTTATTGTACCCAAGTTTGACTCTATCTCTGAAGGATGAAACGTTAGTGTCGGAACGGTAGCTGTTTGAATATCTCTGATTTCTAATTCTTTCTGGTGAGTTTTCGCATCTAGATGTTTAACTGACTGGAATAAATAAATTTCAGATGCATGTTGCTTCAGTGTTTTGATATCTTTTTTCCATGTGGATAGTGAGTCGTAGCTTGATTGGACACTATTTTTATTTTGGGACACCGTCTCGCAACAGTGTTTATACTTATTAATAATGTCCTTCTGTATATCTGCTTCTAACTTATCTAAATGGGCGATAACTTTCTGTTTCATTGCCGACACTCGTGTCTTAATTTTATTCATACTTTTCTTCAAATCTTCGAGTGTTGCCTCATTTTGACTCAGTATGTTTTCTGTAACTTGACTTAGGTTGTCCATTCTTTTCTCTAAATCGGAAATAGCAGTGCTGTCTTTCACGCCGTTGGCAGCTTTTTGAACTGAAATGATAGGTTTACAATTAGGATGCAATACCGGTAAACATGAATCGCAGATCAACTTGTCATGTTGACAGCAGTACAATATGATCTTTTGATCGGGATGATTCTCGCAGTTTTTTGACAACTGAAGACTCGATGAACTGAGTTGTTGTATTTCTTCCATTGGTACTATCTTGTGAGCTGAAGACATCTTTTCGTGAACTCTGGCACATGTTTTACACACAAGTTCACTACAATCACTGCACCATGATACGGCTTTTATGTCTTCGTTACCACGCTGACAACCGACGCAAAGTTTACTGTCTGCCATACTGTAACATAAGAAATACATTGCGTATGCATTAAAAGGATTAACAAATGTATATACATGTTAGTATGAAATTGATTTACATGAATTCTCGATTAAATGGAGACATTTAAAATATATTATTTTATCTGCTTGCAAATGTTTGTATACTAGTATTAATACATGACTGACTAGTTGCAAAAAACTCAAGGTAAAAAATCTCGAAGAAGACAAAAATATAGTGTAGTGGTTAACTTTCTATGAAGAGCATAGAAATATCGAAAGAAAATGATAAATCGTGTTAGAGTAGCCGGTGGCTGATGTGTTTTTTCACATATTGTTGAAATATGTAAATAAATTAATAGAAAACAGCTAGTAAAGTCTAGTGCAAACATTTTTCATTAGAATATAGTCTTCAATATTAGACAGACTTTTTTTTAAATCAATCATATGCAGAGAGAGGTTCCGTTTATGATCACAGTAGCTTTTTTCGGGTCACTAATAGTGATATAAACCAATAATATAAATTTCATAAAAATCTGGCAAGAATTGTACACATTAGAGCGCTCATAAGGCAATTTTCCATATAATTAATATTTCCAAGGGGCATTACTCTTTTGAAAATAATTGATCGGCACTGATTTTCGAAATCGTCCAAGACATTGCTAATATAAACCTATGATATACGTTTTTTTAAACCTGCCAAGAATTGTACTAATGAGAGCGATAACGATGCAATTTTCAATATAATTAATGTTTCCAAGAGGCATAACTCTTTTAAAAAAAATTGATCGGCACTGATTTTCAAACTCGTCCAAGACAATGCTGAATTAAACCTATGATATAAGTTTCATAAACATCTGGCAAGAATTGTACTCGTAAGAGCGCTTACAAGACCGGACGGACAGACGTACAGACGGACAAGGGTAAAACTTAATGCCCCCTCCACTACGGCGGGCGCATAAAAAATATATACCATTATGTTTTTAACCATTTCATTTAAACAAGGAAAATGGAGATTTGGGGTAAAGTATGACGACTTCAAACAAAGATGTTCATATTTCATTTGGTTAGTATGGTATGGTGATCAAACTTTGGCCTTCTTATACAGAGTTCTCAAAAAGTGTTGGTAAGAAGCCCGGCGAAGGTTTTGACCATCTGTATCTGTATAAATTCTGCCAATGTAGGCACACCTCCAAGGAGTTGTCTGTTGAATAAAATAGTGTCCTTCACCATATGAAATCATTATTTTAGTTACGAATATGTCCATTCCACTGCTCAATACCAAAAATTGCAAAGGACCGACACAATTTTGGAAATTTTGCAATAGAAATAATAGTGAGGACCAGCAGATTTTCTTCAAGGACCAACAGGGAAAAAAATCGAGAACTCTGTTTATATAGGGTATGGGTTCGTTTGTGGTTATGGTAAGATTAAGGTAAGTTCAAGGTCAGGGTAAGTTTAGTTTTTATGGGACAACCATTTGATATTCGCGGGGGAGGAGAATTTTTTGACGGATAAAACTATTCATTTTGATCTGTTGCTATGCATGCTTAATTTTTACTGCAGCAGAGTTTGGTTCATATTTACTTTGTACACGATTTATTCCTGGTATTTTCACATAAATCAATACATGAATGGGGTGTTTTTCAAACCCCAGCCAGACGTGTGTACCAAATATTGAAGTTGAGACCCCTCTGTGTACCAGCCATAGATATAGACGACTTTACTAGAATTCGTGCGCTCCTCCGTATGTTTTCCTATATCACAAGGCTAATGTTATGAGTTCACTCTAAAAACCAATTGTTCGATGATATCAATTATGATCGTTGTAATTCTTGTAATTCATATACGGTCGACGTCATAGGTCCGATGATTTAAGATATAAGATATTTATAAGTATAAAATCCAAGCAATCGGACTGCTACAAAATAACACAAATAAACAATAAACAATACAAATATTTAACATTTTCAAAACATGCTAAAGTGTTTTTTTTTTTAATCCAAGTTTGTTTGTTTTTTCTTCTTTGATCATTTTCTTAAACCCTAGACAACATGCCTCTCCTCAAATTAACGTAAAAATATTATATTTAGAACAGTAAAAAGAAGAAATGCTATGAAGGAACATAATTATCACAAAGGGTAAAGAAAATCATGGTAAGCTATAAAAATATACTTGATAACTAGTGAAACTAATCGTAAGAAAAAGAACAAGAGGCTCTCAAGAGCCTGAATCGCTCACCTGTATTTCAGAGGAGAAGATTTTTAAATGTAAGCAAACTTGAACAAATTGTGTAAAATTGTCTTTAAAGGGCAATAACTCCTTAAGGGGTCAATTGACAATTATGGTCATATTAACTTTTTTGTAGATCTTACTTTGCTGAACATTATTGCTGCTTACAGTTTATATATATATATCTATAATAATATTCAAAATAATAACAAAAAACTGCAAAATTTTGTTAAAACTACCAATTCGGTGGCAGCAACCCAACAATGGGTTGTTCGATTCGTCTGAAAGTTTCAGAGCTGATAGATCTTGACCAATTGAACAATTTTACCCCTTGTCAGATTTGCTCTAAAAGCCATAGTTTTTGAGATATAAGCCAAAAACTGCATTTGACCCCTATGTTCTATTTTTAGCCATGGCGGCCATGTTTGTCAATGGATCAAAACTTCGGATAAAATTTATAAACTAGATACCCTAAGGAACATTTAGATAAAGTTTGAAGGTATTTAACCCAGTGGTTTCAGTGGAGAAGATTTTTTTAAATAGTTTACGACGACAGACGACGACAGACGACAACAGACGACGGCGACAGACGACGACAGACGACGGACGACGACGGACGCCAAGTGATGGCATAAGCTCACATGGGGCCCTTTGGGCCCCGGTGAGCTAAAAACAACGTCCCGATGTACGTCAATAATATTGAACAACACCATTTATGACATACAACAAACAGCCACAACCAACAAATGAAAAGATTTTGCTTGAAACAGGTACATACAGAATGTGATCATATGTTTCATCAAAAGAATCTCCATTGTCCTAATGTGTTGAAATGTTAGAAGCAACGAAGTTTTAAAAGAAAATACTTAGATATATCAAAAACCATCTTACAATATTAATGATAGCATAACGGAGAACGTTTTAATTAGGTATGAATATGACTAAAATTTTCATTGGTTAAAAATGGCTAGTCATTTTGTTTAATTTGTTCGGAGCGTACTCCATGTTTTAGATTCACCACTTTAGATCTTTCTTAAAAGAGATAAGTTTAGCACAATATTGATCTAAATTTTTGAAAGAAACCACGTTTTTATGTCCCAAAGGATTTGTAGCTTTTGTGGGATCAAAGTTGCTGATCATAGAGGACCAACGGGGATCCGATGTCCAAATAACATTTCGTATGACTTTGCTTTTGATACACGTAATCAGGGACAGGGTGCTAATGCTAATGTCTTCAGAAAATCTTTCTTCCACCCCCGCTAGAAGTCATTGCGGGTAATGTAGCCAAAACCCCAAAAACAAAGCCTTGACGAGACTTTGTCAGCTCTAGAGCAAGAGAATGAAAAACTTTTAGAAAAAATTAAATTGCGTGAACTAGTTGAAAAGAACAAAACTCTGAAAAAGAAACTTAAGCAAACGGATTTGAACCGGAAACAAAAACATGACCAAACTAACAAAATTGATTTAGAATCCTTGAGAAAAGACGAAGACTTGAAACAGAAAATAACAGAAAAACAGAAAGGATTAGTGAGCAAATTATTCATGTCTGATGATTCAGATAGTGATACAGAAACAGAAGGTGAGATTCATTTCACACAAACATTAAAAACACTTAACTATCCCAAGTTCAAACTCAAAAAGAATAAAAACCTTTCAAAATCTGGTTCATCTAGAAAATCTAGTGATAAGGCTATTTTTCATATTGCATGGCCTCATGAGTTTGCTGGGAGTGACGATATCGAATTCATGTCCTTAAGTATGCCTGCTCTTGTCAGAGGAGAAAATTACATTATACATAACATTGAACCCGCCGAATATAGAGACAAACGTGCTGAACATCTGACACAGCTAATGTTTTATAGTGAACAATTTATATGGTCTGATGTGCTTGCATTTCACAAAGATGTACTTCGAGAAATAGAAACTGGTCGTGCTTCATGGAATGACAATTTTTACTTTTGCAAAGCACGTCGCTTGCATCAGTCACATCCAAGGTTTTATTGTTCAGCTTACAACAAAGGCTCATGCAGCAAAAAAGAATTACACAAAAATACTCTTGGTTTATTAGAGGAACATTTCTGTAGTTCATGCTGGATTAAACGAAAAACTATATTGAATCACGCTGCAAAAGCTTGTCAAAGTCAAAAACAGTTCCAGGGTAATGCAGGTCGAGGTCGAGGTTCAGACGGCTATGTCCAAAATTGGCAACATGACTTTCCTGCACACAGATGACTAGGAAAAGTATGTGGTATTTCAGCTAAAACTATTGATGTATCAACACAAACTGACAATTCTTGTACACATAGTTATGTTATTGATAGCCATGATAAAATTGATAATGAAATTGATTTAAAACCAAAACCTTTAATTACACCTTCAAAATATCAAAGCGGATCAAATGTTGATACATGTTTTAAAAGTACTGTTATTGATAGTGTAGACCATACATGTAGAAATATTAAAAATGACTTTACACAGGTAGAAAATAATGTTAATTATGATATTAATAATAATCAGGTGTGTCAAAATCCTGTTATTCTTCATGATATTGTTTTTAAATCAGGTGTTCCAAATTATCTTGGATCACAAATACCTGTTCCTTCAACAATGAACATTCCTATATGGAGAAAATTGTTAAATGGTTATTATGACTATAAAATTGTAGAATTTTTGAATTTAGTTGGCCTGTTGGCTATAGTAAACATGAATTTCCAGAGACTATTGTTAGAAATCACAAATCTGCATTGTTTTTTAGTGAGCACATAGATGAATATATCAAAAAAGAGTTAT